GAACCAACTCAAGGACACACAACAACATCAACAAAGGGACTAATAGCTCTCTTCTCAGAAACTCAATAGTACTACTTAGATGCCTGTGAACTTATCATTCTCTGCCTGGTGATTTTTGTGAGGAGGCTCTGGATGCTGCCAGCATACTGAATTAGCACAGGCTACAGCTGCTTCTCCAAGTGCTGTATGTAGCGCCTAGGCTGTGGGCAACTTGTGGGCAGGGACCATACCAGACTATCTTTGGCCAACCACAACACATAGTAATTAGTCAACAAATACTTTTGTAATTACTAAACATCTACCAGAGTTACAAATATATACTCAAATGCCCTGACTCATGAGCTTCCTCTTAACTTTGTTGTTATTATGTGCCTTGGAGTTGGTTCCGACTCATAGCGACCCTGTACACGGTTTCCGAGGCTGTAAATCTTTATGGGAGCAGAAAGCCTCATCTTTTTCCCGCATAACAGCTGGTAGTTTCGAACTGCTGACCCTGAGGTTAGCAGCCCGATTCATAACCACTATGTTACCAGAGCTCCTCTTAACATAATCTTTAAAAAATACTTCAGAAACTGGAGACTCAACTGCATATTCACATACATAAGGTAATTTGGAATTAAAGAATAAAATATAGTCAAATAAAGATAAATTGTTGTTAAGTACCCTTGAGTCAATTTTGACTCATAGTGACCCTATCTATAAAGCCTCATTTTTCTCCCTCAGAGCAGCTGGTGGGCTTGAATCACCAACCTTGTGGCTGGTGATTATCCTACAGAGTGCTTATCCTACAGAGCCACTGTGTTCCCCAAAATACAGGTAAGAGTATTAACATATTTAATTAAGAAAAATTCATACAAAACAGAAAAATGAACAGTTGGCAATTGGGCATCAGAAAATTTCCATCCTCTTACACAAAACACGCAAGTTATGGCTAAATGTCAAAAACTAATAACCAATACCTGAAAAATAAGTTGTAAATAAATGAACAAAGGCTCTGTTCACATATTAAGAAAGTTTTTTTCGGAAATTAGACCCAACACCTTGGATTACAAGTGTCTTTGCAAAATATGACTCTAAAATTGAGTAGGACTGAAACTTGTGGTCAGTTATTCAAAGGGAAAGACTGTTTTATTTATCACTATGCCTCACCCTATACATACAGTGCCTGATGGGTAAAATCAAAAGACACATGTTAAAGGCAACATAAACATTTAAATGACTGTTGTTTTATGTAAAACAAGCCATCTTGCAAAACTGATGCACTATAACCATAATTTTATTTTATTTTTCAGTTTCAAAAGTGTATAATTGTTCTTCACTATTAGTGTAGTAGTTACGAATCGGGCTGTGAACCACAAGATCAACAGTTAGAAAATACCAGCTGCTCTGTGGGAAAAAGATGAGGCTTTCTGCTCCCATAAAGATTTATAGCCTCAGAAACCCTGTTCAGGGTCACTATGGGTCGGAACTGACTCGACAGCACTTAACAACAACAACAACAATTTATGGAATGAAGTTAAAATTCCTTAGCCTGAAATTCAGGTCCCCTCACAGCTTTCTTTTCTTTTTCAGCCTCTCATTTTTCTTTCCTTTTCTAATCTCATGTCTCTCTTTTATCCTTCAAGAATCATATATGCCAGTCAAATTTAACTTCCCTGATTTCACACTTTCTTGCCTTCATACCTCTGGTCATTTGGCAATTTCTTATATCATTTATCATTTTCTTCCTTGCATTGTACTTTACAGATATCTTGTTTCCCTTACTAGATTTAAAGTTCCTATGTCAGAGATCATGCCTTTATTTTTATTACTTAGCATAGTGTCTGCATATGGCATACATACACACAAAATATCTATTGAAGGAATTATTAGATTATAAATAATGAAAACTACCTTTTATCCATTGGAGAGAAAAAAGAGAAGGATTTCCTTATTTTATAGCAGTGGGCATAAGAAAAATATGTGGGATATA